TGCTGACATTCGGCTTCCTTCTCTCCTAAAAGTATCTCCAATCCTTTAAGTTCTCCCTTGTAAAAGCCTGAAGGTAAAACCTTATTGCTGTTGACACCGGTAACTTTTATTATGTGCGTTTCTATTGATTTCCCCCGTGCTGGTCAAATTTCTCTACCTTCTGCACAAATGGGACTTAGAAATGGAAGCTTGCATCCTTTTGCAATATAGTTCTACACTGACCCAGCTGTTCACGTAATATTTATTCTGTTTTACGAATTCTTTTTTTTTTCTTCTTCTTCTTCTCCGGAAAAGATCTAATTCGATCAGACCGTAAGGAAAGAAGCAAATGCTTACTATCTAATAATAGCACCGAAGTTACCGTGTTCCCAAAGTACGGACTCAGAAATTGACGTCAGAAATTTTGAAATAAAAGTAAGTGATCTTTTCTTTCTTGTCTCATTGTATCTTCCACATTACTAAAGCATTTTTTTATGTTTTTATTGAAAAATATAGAGGTCTTCAGAAAAGTTTGGGAAAATGGAAATTTATAAATTTTTATAAAAGACGAAGCCCACACATAACAAAGGTGACCAAGAATTACGGTAATTTCTAGGATTTATTCTTCTTTTATATGTCTATTCTTGATGTAGGCGATCACGGCTCTCCGCTACTTCTTATTCATTGTAACTTCAATAAGCAATATTGCCTTCCCAATCCATGTTGTGCCATCCATTTGCACAAACTTATTAGCTAGGTTGGACCCCTTTTACCTCTCAGTATATCTTGTGAGTCCCAAATTCTCCAAACCTTCTTTCTTCATTATGCATCTCAGATATATTAGCTGTCTCTGATTCGGAATCATGAAAAGGGAAAAGTTTTTGTCGCGTATCGAAAGGGAGTGCGATTAACGTAACTGAAAGGGGGGGGCTCTGCAAGCTGAATTCAAATGAATATGAATCAAGCTGTTCCTTGATTTTATGTACTTGTGTCCTTTTTTATTCCATTTTCCGTAAAACTTCGCTCGCCGCTCACGTTTACTGTCTAAGTTATTCTATTCTTCAGTTCTGTAGAACGAGATATGTGATGTCTGACGTCACCTCTTCAACTCTACACTGACACATAGGAGGACTGATATTAAACAGCAGTTCAACGCTGTTTTATTTCTATCTGAATTTCTGGATTTTGTTTGGTTTGTTTTGTTTTACGACATATCAACCTCAATGGGTTATTTAATGTCGACAAAATCTTTATAGCTGCTAATATATTTTTCTTCAAAAATCTATTTCTGTGAATATATTTCCTTGAGAAAATCTATAGCTGGTCATATTTTTTTTTTAAATGTAGTGATTTTCTAAGCCCGGCTTAGATGTGGCACAAGGCCGAAAGTATGGGGCACCCAGGTGAGGATCGAATTCACTACTCAGTCGTAACTGATCTAGCAAGACAAGCATTCTAACCATTACACCACGTCGAGGTGCCTTTTTTTTTAATGTATAGATGTTTGTATTGCTGGTATTTTTTAAAAGTATTGCTGATAATAATTTTTCCTTTAAAAATTATTTCTGGTAATATTTTTTTTTATTGCAAAGTATTTCTAGTATTAAAACCTATTTTTACACAAGTTTGGGTGTTAACTATTTGCCCATAACTGGGACCCTAACAGGTGCTACCACCCCGGGGCAGTGTGAACTTGGGAACACCAGCAATTAAGAAATGGTTCCACGCTCCTCAAAACCTCCTGATCAGAGGCCTTGCTGTCGGACGTAGTTTATCGTCTTATCCAGGACGCGGATGTAGTTTATCGTCATACCCAGAACGACTGAATTTCTGGAATGAGGATTTATATCTATACATTCGGACTATTGTCCTCATCCTTGTTGTTGCTATCACAACCTTTTGGTTGTTGTACCCTCTGACCTTCTTCAGGTGCTTGTTGGTCCGAGTAGCCATTAAAGAATTTCGAATTGAACACTTTATTCAATCTGAAGAGGTGGGTGATTCTTATTTTGTTGCCTATGTCTATGGATATCTCTCTTATTCTTTCTTTTTTTTAGTACTTCTTAGTTATTGCTTTCCCTGTTCCCACTGAGCCTAAGTCTGTACTACTCGGGCCAGGGATTGAACTCACAATTACTATGTCACCAAATTAACGAACCACTAGACTATTGTTCTGCAAAACAAACCTGAAACAAAACGTTGGGATAAGAATAACAAAGACGGAAGCATTAGTCAGAATGTAAATATTGGTAATTATAATTTCCCATTCCAGAAATTCAAACAGAAAACTTAAACATATATAATTTACTTGGATTTTCAAAATTCAGATTAAGTAATAAGCCTTTTAAAATATTAACTTCTATTTCAGCAGAAAATACAACTCGATATTATATGTAAAAGTATACATTAATATAAGTATTTTATGAGATTTTGTAATTAAACCTATTAAGCATTAGTACGATTGTAAATTTTGTATGGAATGGTAACTCCTCATCCCAGAAATTCAGACAGAATTTCATAAAATTGATATTTTAATTTTATTGAATGAATAAGTTTTATTTGGATATTTTGTTGTAACTAATATGTAAGACTCACAAAAGAAATCTTGTGGCGGACCGGATGTAGCTTCGGGCTGTAGTTTAAAATCTCCTGACCTAAAATAAATGCAATTTTCCTCGATATGAATAGCATAAGGTAAGTGGATATTTTATTTAATCTCATTTTTTTATCCCATTGACTTTTGATAAAGGTGCTTTATGAAGAGAAATAATTGTCTAGATAGAATTGAGGGGATTGTAAGTGTGTGTGTGTGTGTGTGTGTGTAGTAGTAGTAGTAGTAGTAGTAGTAGTAGTAATAGATATTGTGTTTGATAGTTGTTTGCATGTTGATTTGGGTACGTTTATACAGTTTGTTTTAGATAAACGTAAGTTAAATTATTTAAGAATAGATTAAATAAAGTTTGGTAATGTAATATAATGATTTACACGTGTGCTTATAGTTGGCAATATAGTATTTTCCACGTAAATAACTATGTACTTTTTTAATTAGGTTGGCATTTGTAAAATCAAAGTTATGGACAGTTTTGTACCTGTGCTTTACGAGTGAGATTACGTGGTTGTCTAAATGTAAATCCCTTTTATGTTCGTAGATATGGGCTATTAAATTTCGTAATGTCTCCCCGATATAAGTGCTTTTACATTGGGAGAATTTTTTAATAAGTACCAGCATCTGAATTGGTGTTGAATTTATTTTTCTTCCTAATTATATCTCCGATTGTCTGAGATGCTGTGGTAAAGATATTAGTATGAGAGATAACTCATTCATTTACAAATTTTGTAGAAAGAGTGTTAGAGGGTATGATTATGAATTTTGTGATGTTATTAGAAGTGCTATTAGTGGTGTCTAGTTTTGGGGATTGTGGATGGTGTAAGCTCGTTTTTGAGCGTTGAGGATGAAATTATGTGGGTAGTGAAGAAGTCTAAAATGTTTTTCAATGTATCTCTCTTCTTCATCTAGGTATTTTGGGCTACATATTCTAAAGTTTCTGAGGTAGAATCCTATAACTAATTCTGATTTTACTCTTTGATTGTGGGTGAGAATAGAAATTAATTAACTCTCTTTTGTTAGCGGTTTTACTATAAACTCTTAAATGTAATTTGTTTTTGTTACATATTAATATGCTCTCGAGGAAAGGTAGATATTTCTTTATTTCACATTCATGCGTGAATTCGCTGGTAGGTTCAACGTATTTAATAGAGATGCAGACAGCTTCAGTCCTTAGTATATATGTCTAACTTGTTAAGATCAGGAAACTCATAGGCACATCTGTTGAACTAAAAGCGTTATTTACAGTAAATCATCACAGTTCAACAAGATAAACCACATGAATGTTTATGCCTTCAATCAATTACGATCAGAAGTCATATTATTATTATTGTTGGGGCCACCGACCTTCTCATCAGAATGGACTGATCTCTCTACTACTAATAGGACAGTTCTATAGAGTTCTGGGAGATCAGGTGACCAACACACTTCCGTCTTTCTACCGGAAGATACATTTGGACTTTATACTCTTTTTGATTGTTACTGACTAACCTGCGTTCGTTTGACTACTAATCTCTCTGTTGTAAATACCTCTTCAGATATACCAGTATTTTTCCCTACGTATGTGTTTGTCCTTATTTCAATACACGCACAGGGAAACACTCAACATCTCAACAATTATTATTATTATTATTTCAGTCATATTATTTTTATTAGTATTATTATTATTATTATTTCCTAGATTTCCTGTCGTATACATATTTCCGTCCGGGTCCCAACCAGAGACCTAAGGTCAGAAATAGCTTCATGACATTTTCCACTGATCATTTTTTGTGAAAAAAAAATATCACATTCATTTTACATAGATAAAGCTCTTTGTAATATGTTATCTTTACTTGTATGTACATTTAATTTTTATTTAAGGCATGGTTTACCAGGAATCCCTTCAATCGGAACCTTTTCCAATCAAACCGAGGGCTCCAACTATAACAGGAATTATTGGTGTTCTCATATGCCACATCTTTAAGAACCTTGTATTTTGATAGTCGTTTTTAATATATTCAAAGGTACATTACAATTTGCAAGGACTATGTCAGTATGAAAGCACATACTCTTTTTGTAGGTCTTTGATCATGATGTCTGGGCGATTAGCTTTGACTGTTCTGTCTGTAGATATTCTGAAGTCTCATACAATTGCTACATTCCTGTCTCTGTAACCGAGTGTGGGTAATATTCATACCAGTTTCTTGTAGAGTCCTTCCCGGAAAAATTGCAGATTTTCCAGTACAGATATTGGCACATTCTATCGTGCCGATATGTATATCCAGTGGGTCCTTGTAACAAGATGGTAAAGCCAGATAGGTCAGGTTTCATAAGCTAAGCAATAGTAAACACTCGTATTTAGATTGAATCGTTAACTACGCAAGCCATTCTGAGCAGGTTCCCCTCATACCAGCCACCCGATGTCAAGTGGTGACTAATGAACAGCATTGACAAGAACGCAGCTGGGAAAATATCTCCTAAGGAAAAAAGAGAAAAGTGAAAATCCCGAGCCAGAAGATAGAGACGTTGTGGTGGAGTGAATCGCGGGCCACTGTCTGCGATGACACTTCCGATATTAACCCAGAATACAGAAAGAAAAATATGTCAGTCGGAAGCAAAAAAAAAAACAAAAAACAAGCAAATGAATTCTTGGGTAAATAAAAAAAAAATGGAAGTTTCTAAATTGTCCAGACTTGTAGCTGGCAAAGTAAATAGAAAAGCTAAATATAAAACTTTTCTTGGAGATGAGAAATGTTGCTTTTTGGAACGCAACAAAGATGTCAAATTCGAAGGGAAATCGGTGGAGAATTCAAAAGAAAACAAGATACGCAAAGTAGGTGGAAGTTTAGAACAATACAAAGATGTCAAATATTAAGAAAAATAAGAAAGGGTAACGATCGAGAAATGACCACGAACAGGCAATCTGCCAAAATCGCTAGCCTAATGGTATTTCTCCGAGATGTCGAAGATTTATTGATTATATATATATATATATATATATATATATATATATATATATATATAAGCAATATTCACTGTACATCAGTGAATGCTGGATAATTTCCTTATAAATGAATTCTGATTGATTTGATAGATTTGAGGTTTTTACGGTTTATCAATCTTTTGCAGGTTATTTAAAGACAGAATCATTTTTAGATTGTAAGATTTTTTTTTCGGTGATAATAATGATATATCTGATACAAGCACTATTAATTAACCCACAGCTGGGAGGGGAAGAGGTGGTGTCATACTTTTTCCAAGGGTATTTGTACGTAAGTTTTTATCTCTCAAAACTTATTTATAGTGGATACTCGAATTTGAGTAGACGTTCCGATTATTCATTAAACAATGTATGTTTTTTTTCGTTTACCGGTCTGAATATTCGAGAAATCTTATTGAGAAAGATTATTATGAAAATCTGCGCTCACCGCCAGGAATCGAACGTACGTCCCTCAGGGCAGAGAGTGCTACCGTTTATCCCGGCCCGCCTTACTGACTTTCTGCTATAACTTAAACGCCAAAAAAATGAAATGATTAACATAAACGTCTATAGTTTGATCTTATTTGATAAGTTACAAATGACCTACTTGATTCATTTTGTCTGCGTCATGTCTAAGATAGACTTTTAGAGTGATTTAACTTTAACTTAAAGCGACATTCATTGTACAGGCATTGATGAATAGAATCATTGTCAATAGATTTTAAGTATTTTTTAAAGTATTTTTGTACTTATCTTCCGTTCTGTCAAAAGTTTGGGATGAAGCTTCAGAAAATAAGTTCATCCTTCTTATATCACCATTTATTTTCTGTCGACTAACAAGTCTAATTCATTTTGCATATAGTTTGGTTTATTTTGTTTTACGGCATATCAACCTCAATGGGTTATTTAATGTCGACAAGGATAGGTTCGTATGGATAGAATATGTATTCTTTTGTGAGAAATCAGTTTGTAGATCAGGTTTCATTGACGTATTTTTTTGTAAAGAGGGCTTCTGTCGAGAGTCAAATGTATTGTTAGTAATTTTTTTTTATCAAAAATGTATTACTGATATTTTTTACTATAAAAATGTATTTTTAATACTTTCATAATGATTTGACACCAGTTTGAGGGTTAATTTTCCCATAGTTGGGACCCTAACAGATGTGACGATCTGGGTAGACTTGGGAACAACAGCAATTGAAAGGTGGTTCTACGCTCCTCAACCTCCCCTGATCAGAAGCCTTGCTGACGGATGTAGTTTATCGTCATACCCAGGATGGATTTAGTATATAGATAGACCTAAAAACCTTATGCCAACACCCCCTTCATCTAGCAGCGAGATAAATTTATAAGTTGGAATTATCAAGAATTAAAGTCATTGACTAGTTTTTTAAAAATATCTCTTGGTTGATTTGCTTTTACGGTTTATCAACCTTTTGCTGGTTAATTGAATATGATATATTTTTTTAGATTGTAAGAATTTTAGGGCGGTAATAATGATTTACTGATACAAGTCCTACTAATTAACACATAGTTGGTGGGGAGAAGAGGTGTATTCATATCTTTTCCAAAGGTATTTGCACGTAAGTGAATATAACAAACCCGACTGGAATTGGAACGTGGTTCTCTAGTTCTAATTACAATCGGATCCGTTATATTCAACTTACTAACCGTTACCCATAACTCTGTTGCGGACCGGGTAGCGTGCAGTGCTGGTTTATTAAAAAGTGGCCTTGTGCCAGACACTACACAAAACTACCGAATCCATAAGCAAAGTAGAAATATATAGCGTGAGTGAACTTAACGAGGAAAAGGGGTCAATCAACAAGTGCATAAATAATAATACAAGTAGATAGCCGGAATTAAACGACACAAGGCGTCAGGTTGAAAAACATATATGAAATTTTTATTAAATTGAAACAAGTAGGTTGTCTCGTCATTCGAGATCATCAGAGAAAATGTTCCGCGCCAAAACAGGAAAGCAAGATGGACAAGGCGGGAAAAGGTTTCATCAGAATGAAAGTTCTGGAAAAATATGACTCGTTAACACGAGGTGTAGGTGTGCACAAATAGAAAAAGTACTCACTGTGGAATTTCGTATTGTGAGTGTATGTAATATTTTTTTTGTACAGGTTCAAAGTAGTTAGAATGTTCATGGATACGAGAAGTCTCATTCTTAACTGTTGAAAGTTTTAAAGTTCCCTGGTCATGGACGAAGGCATACTCAAACAAGATGTTCGCATTACGACTAGAGAATAGTTGTCGAAAAAGGTGAAGTGGCGAAAGTTCAGTCATCTCGGAGTTTTTGGTCGAAAGACAAAGGGAAATGCAACAAGTTGTTGACTTAAGGATATTGAATTAATTGCTGAAAATTAACATCGATTTGATGTGATTATTGCCGTTAGGATATCCCTGTCTGTATTATGGTTGACTGACGAGGGATAAAATAAGTCAACTTGTTGGTACGAAGTTCTGACCACGACTGTGTCGTGTATCTTGACGTTTTCTAGTCGAAAACGGAGAAGGTCCGACCTGCGGGTTACATCAAGACGAGAATGAGTCTTGGGAAATTGTAAGGTCGACTTGTTGAAATGTGGTAGTTAGGAATAAGATATTCCGGCCCGCATATGGGTTAATGGCACGGAATAAATGAGTTGCCCGTCTAGTTAGCTTGAAAATCGGGATGCAACTGAGTTAGAACGCGCGGGAAAAAACTCAAATTCTGTTAGGCTGACTTTATCAGCAGGAGCTGGTCATCGACCTTCCTTACTCTAGTTAAAAAAGAAATGGCTTACTGCTATGTTTAGCTTAACGAGAGAGGAAGGGGTGCAATCCGTGGGCGCGCGCGCACACACGCACAAGTGTGGAAGGAAGGGAGGAAAACTCGCGCGCGCGTAAAATGTAGATGGAATTACTGTGTTATTCCATAACTCCACCTGCACCTGGTCACTCCTCTAGGCGCTAACCAGTCTTAACTTCGATGAACGTATCAAAACCGATGTTTTAACGTGATAGAATAACAGCCCTTAATATTTAAAATATTAATAAATTTAAATAATTAATAAAATTAATTTATTAATATGTTATAGTCATATTATATTAATTATGTCATATTATATTATGTTATAATATAATATAGCATAATAATATAATTATGTTATAATTATATTATATTAATTATATTAATTTATTAATAAAATCAATAAAATAGAATAAGCCCTTAGCCTTAAAAAATATCTAATCATCGTTGAATTTGGAGTTCGTGTAATTCTTGACATTCTTTGATAATTGTAATTACTATTTATCTGTAGAGTATTATAAGTATATCCTGCAATGCTGCAGTAGAATAAGTTCACATTTTTATTAATGATTATGGGACATTCAATGTGTGAGTGATCATGGCTCTCCACTACGCCCTGTCATTCATAGCTCTAAGTAATATTTGTTCTCTGTCCATTTGCGCAAGATTGGTAGGTAGATTACTCGATGTTTTCTTTTGCCCCTCTTGCTTTCAATATGTCTTGTGCGTGCCAAATTCTCCAAATATTCTTTCCTCCTTATTCCTCTTTCTGATTCTAAGTACAGTATCATTTTCCTTAAGACTCCCTTTTTGCTTACATGTTCCTTCTGTTGCCTCAAATCTTATCTTGGAGAAAGTTGTCCAGCATTCACTGCCATATAGGAGATTTTATATTACAAACCATTGCAGCACACTTTTCTTTGTATCTAACATATTTTTCTCGTTTCTTTAGATTATGTGAACACTTTTAGAAAACAATTATTCGAAAAACATTTATTCGAATTGTAAATTGTTTGAAGAAAATTAATCGAAAGGACAATTATACTAAATGATAATTATTCGAAATGCAAAATTCTTTATTGCAATAAAAATGTAAAAATTAAAAGAGGAAATGCACAAATGATAATTATTCGAAATAAAAATATCGTTAATAAAGCTTACTAAAAAAAACATTAGTAAGAAAAATCCTTATAACTAATTTGGAAGTCACATTTTCCGTCGTCTGTTCAAGCATTTCACTAGACTAACGACAATACGTTGTCTTAAAATTGATGATTAGACCTTTTTACTTTCTTTTATTTACTACCTCATTTAGGAGTTCCTGCAGATTCTGTTTCTGTCTCATCAACACATTGGCATCGGCGTATCTTACGCCCACTAATAATAAATTCCGGTCGAATTTCTAGTTCTCTTAGAATCGCCTCACTATAAAGTTTAAATAAATCCGGTAAGACGGTGAATCCTTGCCTGATGCTCCTTTCTATTTTTTGTGTTCTTACTCAATTCATTTCTATTCGGATGCAGGCAGTTTATTCAGAGTTAATTTTCTGGATTATTCTAATATCTTTCCCAAATAAATCAAGTGTTCCTGCAGTTTTTGTATCGACTAACAAGAGTAATTGATTCTCTATATAGATACACTTGAATATTTGCAGTCAACAAGCCCTCCGTCTAACACTTATATTTATAAGATGGAATTACTAGTTCATTGCAAATGTTCGTGTCCGATTAGAAAATTAAAAACAAAATTTTAACATACACAAAAAAAACATTGTTTTTAATAACTGTCTCTCGTCGTTCTACAAATGGAATTTTCAGAAAAACTTTTTGTTGTTCGTCGGAATAAGGTTCTGAGGCAGCTTTTAACTGACTGTACATAATCAAATTATTCGCCATTTAAATTGTTTTGTAGAGAGAAGAACAAATTAAACTCCGAGAGAACCAAGTCACAAGAATGCAGCGGGTGCCGGAGGGTTTCCAACTTCAACTCCTTAAGCTTTTGTAAGGTCTACTTTGCAACACTGCAGTCTTGCTTCGTCGTGGTGAAAAATGACACCTTCTCGATTTTCATGAATCCAAGTCTCTTCACCTCGTAAAAGGCAGTTGAGATATCGATTTTCGAATACCTACAATCTCTTCCATCGAATTATTCGATTTATATGTCCATGATGGCAAGCAAGGCGTCTCTCTTGACGTTGGAAGATCGCCTGGAAAGTGATTGATCGTTTAGGCCCAAATCATCCTGACGAAATCTGCTAAACGACTTTTTGAGAGCTGGAACACGATCCAAATAAACCTTCTGAGTGTTTTTGCCATAATTTCGACGCTTACTCCATTCCAAATTTCATAGAGCATAATATAGCGAAAGTTTTTCTTTCATCCTACATTTTTAAGGTATTCATTTATGAACAAAACGCCAACATTCAACAACTTCTGCCTCGCCACTGAACGATGTAACACACCCGGAATCGGGACCAAAACTAACGCTAGTGTCAAATTGCGGTCATTTTATATTAACAATGAAAATCGGACTTTTGCAATTACCTGATATTAATAATTGTTATGGGGTCCACCCCTTTTTCATACAAGTGGACTCGACCAGCGTGTACTTGTACTGCTGCTGCTGAATACCCGGAAGTTAGACGAGAGATACAGTGATAGAGTGAGGTAACCGCTTTGTAGGAGTCACAGTTGCGAGCACGTAGCCTCAGAAGGAAGTCATACTTCGATACTGAATTTCCCAGACTGTATATATTATTATTGCTACTAACCGCATTTCTGGATCTACTAACCCTATCACCATTTGTATTATTACGTCAATATATTTATTTGCTATATTTCATTCCTGCATTTGTCATTCATTGGAGACCGGATTTCATCTCGGAATCCACAACAATAATTAAAGCCATCGTATTTTTAAAAGGTTTCTAATCTTTGAATTTGGGGTCAGTAAAACTATTCACATTCTTTGATATTTACAGTTACTGTTTATTTTTAAATCACTTATACCATACTCTCCGGCTTACTTCGGATGTGTGCTGGTTAAACGCTATGAGAGGATCCCCAGGCGAGACTATATCGAAGGGAAGAGTTTCGTCTCGGGAAACAGCTACCCGACCCCGTTTTTTACGGGGTGTACGGGGAATTTTTGGATGAGCCTACGTGCTCGGATACCCCACAATAAACTCGGCCTTGTGCCACATCCGACCGCGTGAGGCGATTAGCAAATACCATACTATAGTAGACTAAGTTCAAATTTATTCATGAATTGATCTGAATTTCTCGACTGAAGACCATTCTCCTCCTCAAAAAATATGAAGGAAAGCAGGATTAAATTTAAAAACAGTTACTTAATAAAATCTTGACCTAGATAGAGACAAAACCCCATTGCAAGCACAATTTCTATAATTGGTTTTTGAGAGATCTTTTGTAACAGTAATGATTCATGGATTCTGTTTGTTTAATGGCAAGAGAAACTAGTGGTTCATTAGTGGGTGCCTCCTAATCTGCTGGAAGCTAATTTCGTTTAATGAAATCTTTTGAAAGAGAAAAAATGTTTTGTGTGCTAGGCTGGGATCATTTTTTTTTTTTTACTAGTTGTTTATAGCTAACTTAACAAACCTTTCTTACCAACAACATTATCGATCCATTATCAGGGCAGATAACTGCCCTGAAATACTATTATCATATGCATCATTATTAGAACTTGAAAATTAATCGTGTTGCGAATTGCCTGCTGCTTTTCATGAATGTGTTAACAAACAATGGCGCTGAACAAAAATAATTATTTTTCTCATTCAAACAAAACAGACAAGAGAAGGAACATACACGCATTCTACGAAGACAATGACCAATTTCGTCCTAGGTATGACGATAAACTATTAGGTTGGTGCAAAAATAATGACGTAATAATGTCGTTTTGTCACGTTAAAAAATACGTCAAAAAAACGACATTATTACGTCATTATTTTGCACCAACCTAATACATCCGGCGTCCTGGGTAAGACGATAAACTACATCCAACAGCAAGGCCTCTTATTAGAAGGTTTTGAGGAGCGTGGAACCACCTCCTAATTGCTGGTGTTTCCGAGTCCCCCCTAACTCGGGATGGTAGCACCTGTTAGGGTCCCAGTTATGAGCAAATATTTAACCCCCAAACTGGGACCAAAACACTATGAAAGTGTAAAAATAGGTATGTTCCAGAAATACTTTTTGTAAAAAAAATTATTACCAGCAATAATTTTTGGAAGAAAAAAATATTACCAGCAACAAAAATTTTGTCGGCATTAAATAACCCATTGAGGTTGATATGACATAAAACAAACCAAACCAAACCAAACCCAACCAAACAATGACAGACTGCTTCCCTATTTGACCGCTTATATGATTTATATATTTAAAAGAAATTTTTAATCATTTCTCCCTAAGGAAGGCGATAATGCCACAAAGAAACAATTAGCTACTGGGTGTGGAAGAGAATATAACTAAAAATCTTATACATAATCAATAAATAAATAACTCTCGATAACACGAACGCAACACTTTAAAGAAAACGATATCGCGTGTGAAGACGCGATATTTGAAAGCGATGAAACCGACATCACACAAAAACTCTTCCATAATGACTTAGGAAATTCGAAAATATTCAGACGTTAGGCAGTTTATATTTAAACTTTCACCGCAAACCAAGAAAACGTTCTTAAATATAGAAAAATTAAGCAAAATACATCTTTTTGTTGGACTTTAACATAACTTGTGTAAATGTGACATTGTTTCCCAGATACAATCAATGTATGTATAGCAACAAATAAAATTAAATGTTAGAGTTTCACTGATATGGTATCCACTAAGATATAGTATCAACACGTCAGGGAACTTGATAATAAAATTTTGCTATCAAGCCGGTTGACCGCCTGACGAGTGAATACCATATCCGCAAAAATCCAAACAGAGAGGTATCAATTCGACATTTATTTCTATTACTGCGTAAACTCTTGGTATTAGGAACTTTAATGACAAAGATTCTAAATAGAGATCTGCTGAAATTATGCGGATTCTAGAAATGAACATTGTTGTGAATATGGATTATCTCCTCTTAGATAATCCAAGTTATAAAAGCTGTATACTTCCGCTGTCAAGTCAGATGAGTAGTAGTATTCTTAATTGAATAAACGATTACTAGACAGAATCTCTTGTCCTGTTTTCATTACAAAAATATCCATCTTTATGCCTACCCTATTTAGGACAACTACCTTGTTGGCATGCAGGAAGAAACGGATTGATAATCCCAATTCACAATTTAGTCAATTCTTACATAACAAATTTCAGATTAAGCTTGTGTGGTGGGACATCATAATCATTTGTAGACCGCAGTCGGGATCATCGAGCCAATGCGAACGATCCTTTCCTTTAGCTGTATAGTATGTGCCAGGGTTACGTACAGTTTTGAATTCAGAGTTACTTTCTCCTAGACCGGTTGCCACCCAAGGCTATTGTTATGGAGTCCACCCCTTTTTTATATAAGTGGACTCGACTAGAGTGTTACTTGGACTGCTGCCGTTAAATATCCAGAGTCAGTCAGAATATAGAGAGAGAGTGAGCAGAGATTGTGATTGAGTTGGAGGTAGAGTAATAGTGTGAGGTAACCGCTTGTAGAAGTCAGTTACAAGCACGTAGACTCTAGGGAAGTCCTACTTCGAGACTATATCTATATATATTATTATTACGACTAACCGCGTTCCTGGATTTACTAACAATATACCCATTGTATTATTGTGTAAATACATTTAATTTCTTATCTTTATTTCTTGCGTTTGTCATTCATTGGAGACCGAATTTCATCTCGGAATCCACAACAGCTATAAAACCCAGTCTGCCCTGCTATTTACCCATAGCTGCGGGTATTACCACGTAAGTGAATTAATGGATTCGACTGGAATTCTAACTCGGCTCTCTGATTCCTCAATCCGAGCCGCTATCCATTACTCCAGCAGGTAGCTCCCAGATAGATAGATAGATAGATAGATAGATAGATAGATAGATAGACTTGGCTTCTAAAAAGCCTCTGAATTGTCTGGAACTGCATCAGTCGATCTGTAGAGCTGAGACGCTTCATGAATCTGTGACAATAGATTTATTTCTTAAACTGCTTCATCCTTTAGAACAAGAATGCTTCGAACACAGCGACATTTTCTTAGTAAATTTTCAGTTAATACAAGGCCCAAGAGCCACCCAATTTAGTGAGTTACTGAAATACTAAGAGTGTTTGCGTGTTTCTTTGTAGCAACGGGGATACAAGAGATAGAATTTAGTTCTTATTGTGTGGACATGAATGGGGTTTTGAGTTCTGTGCATCTCATGTCAAAATTCTGCACACTCCCCTCAATTGTTATACAGAGAAAAACACATATATATATATATATATATGAAGAAATATAGTTTTAAAGTGTGCTATATTTATGGGATAAAGTGTTCAATATCAGAGATAGAGTGTATTAACAATCAAGTTAATCTTGAAGAGGTTAAAATTGTAGTGTTTGGGTAAGCAGTGATTGTAACATTGTAATGATCGTGAAAAATTTGCTTTGTGAGGTTGACCTCACGTAGAAAATTTGTAGTCTTATGAATATCCATGTAAAAATCTGGATTCCTTGGACTTTCCATTTGGCCATAGTTCATGAATCTACAAACACGCGCACAGCAATACAAACATTGTCATATTATTAGATAGAGATATATACAGAAAGAGACAAGCTGAAGTAGTAGATATATATACTGTATTCGTGCTGCGGATTTTACAAATATACAACTGTACTAACCTGCTTCCAGCAAAGATGTTCGCTTTATGCGAAATGTCAAAGGCAGAGGGGAACTTATCTCAAAAACCAACATCCGGATTTTGCAGATCGAAGGTGCCACTATCTTACTCTCCATAGATAGATAGATATGAACAGACTGGGATATGAACAGAATGTCATAGATAGATAGATAGATAGATAGATAGATAGATAGATATGAACAGAATGGGATATGAACAGAATGGCATAGATAGATAGATAGATAGATAGATATGAACAGAATGGGATATGAACAGAATGTCATAGATAGATAGATAGATAGATAGATATGAACAGACTGGGATATGAACAGAATGGGATATGAACAGAATGGCATAGATAGATAGATAGATAGATATGAACAGAATGGCATAGATAGATAGATATGAACAGAATGGCATAGATAGATAGATAGATAGATAGATAGATATGAACAGACTGGGATATGAACAGAATGGCATAGATAGATAGATAGATAGATAGATAGATAGATAGATAGATAGATTCCTACACATTGAAAATAGTTTTAAAAGCTGAATATTTTTACACAACTGAACAGTTTTGATAACATAACAAAGGTGTGCAGGTAGCGTTCAAACATCTCAAATATCCAATTAGGAAATGTAAAGATTAAAAAGTGGCTACTTTCACCGACAATGTAATCAGCAAAATGTACTGAAGACAACGAATCGGATGAACTGACTAGTGTTTTGCTTAAAGTACATCGTGTCAAACTTCATACGCCTGTCAACTTTTACACAATGAAATTAGTATTAACCAACCGATACTGGCAAGACTTTCAGCATATAATTACACTACAGGCAAAAAGTTTGGAGTCATCCTGCATTTTTTAAAAAACACGTTAAAATGTAACATGTTTTTTGGGGTTTTTTTAAGTAAAAGATAAAATTTCACTAACTACAATGTATTTGCTTTGATTTTGACAAAAAAAATAAGCAATTAACTATAAATAATTATCATACAACAGTGTCATATCTTGTTTCCGAACTGCCACCAGCCTTAATTACTATGTTACAAATTCTTTGCATTCTTTCCAACAGTTTTTGAATAAAAGAAAATGGCAGACCTTCCAAAGTGTTATATTCCATGCTAATAGGAATATATACTTGAAAAAAACGGTGGCTAAAATAAGTAACGGTTTATTGTAAAAACCAGTACAATAAGAATAAAGGTAACAGTTATGCACAAGGTCGTCAATCCAGTAGTGAGTGCTACTATTGGAAGGTCGGTAGTTATCGCGCAAGTCTGAGTCGTACTCAACAGAACCCAACTAGTAATATTTACCAGCCTCCCCACGAGGTAGGATGTGGCAAAGGTCGAATTTAATGTGAGGCAATAGGAGCCCGTAGGCTCGGCCAAAAATTCCCCGTAAACCCGGCATAAACGGATTCGGGTCTGTCTACCTCCCCGGATGAGTCTCTGCTCTCCAGCATAGCCTTGTCCGAGTTCCTCTCTGCCTTCGGGCAGAGAGTTCGACAAGAGCTAAGAGCTAAGTAACGGATCTCCGCTAGTGTATTTTTAACCTCCCCACGTGATCAGATATGGCACAAGGTGGAATTTAATGTGGGGCATCGGAGTCCGTAGGCTCAGTCAAAAATTCCCGTAAAGCCCGTGTAAAACGGGGACGGGTAGCTGTTTCCCGAGACGAGACTCTGCCCTTCGACATAGCTTCGTCTGGAGATACTCTCAATCCGAAGGCATAGAATTTGACCAGCACAGCGGGAAAAGATTCTAGCCAGTGTATTTACTAACCTCCACACACTATCAGATGTGGCACAGGGCCGAATTTAATGTGGGGTATCCGAACCCAAAATCTCAGCTAAAAATTCCCCGTATAACCCGTATAAAACTGGGTCGGGTAGCTGTTTCCCGAGACGAAACTCTGCCCTTCATCTGCGGATCCTCTCTGCACAGCTGGAAATGATTCCAGCTATACGATATTTTCCAGTCTCCCCACGAGGTAGGATGTGGCACAAGGCCGAATTTAATATGGTGCAATCCGAGCCCGTAAACCCCGAATAACATGTGGCATAAGGCCGAATTTAATGTGGGGTTCCCAAGCCCGTAGGCTGGCAAACAAAAATCCCCGTAGACCCCGCATAAACGTGATCGGGTCCGTCTACCTCCCCGGACGAGACTCTGCCCTTCGGCATAGCCTCGTCCGCGCTCTTTTCTGCCTTCGGGCAGAGAGTTCGACAACAGCTAAGATCTGAGTAACAGATCCCAGCTAGATTGTATCTATCAACTGCCCCATACAGTCATATGTGGCACAAGGCCGAATTTAATGTGAGGTTCCCAAGCCCGTATGGTGGCAAAAAATCCCCGTAGACCCCGCATAAATGGGATCGGGTCTGTCTGTCTCTCCGGACGAGACTCTATATTTCGGCATAGCCTCGTCCTTATTCCCCTCTGCCCGAAGGCAGAGAGTTCGACGGCACAGCTGGAAAAGATTCCAGCTAGACAATATTTACTAGCCCCCACTCCCATGAGGGTAGATGTGGCATAAGACTGAGTTTAACGTGGGTCATCTGAGCCTACATATCCCATTCTGTTCATATCTATGTTCGGCCAAAAAATCCCAGTATACCCCGCATAAACGGGATCTGTTCGGTCTACCTCCCCGGATGAGACTCTGCCCTTCGGCATATCATCGCCCGGGTTCCTGTCTGCCTAAATGCAGAGAGTTCGACCAGCACTGCTGAAAAAAATCTCAGCTAGATTCCGTAGTCCGTTGACTTACAGATAGTTATAGGTAGTTACTACCTATAGTGTAGTCTCTCATGAGGTTGATAGGTTATTCTATTACATCACCAAGCATTCTTTAAACTCTGAAAAATATCTCCCTCACTTTTTGAATATTCTCTTTGAACTATCCTATCCAGTTCATCTCATAGTAATTCAATGAGGGAGACGTTAGAAAACTGAGGCAGCCAATTTCCAAAATGGTGTTATTTTTTGGACGAGGTAATTATGACAATTTAGAATTATTTTTTGGATAGTTGTCTTGCTTGAAAGGTGATTTATTTCCAGTTATTCATAAACCAGATGATATATAACATATTTTTGTAAAATCGAATGGTATCGTTCTTTTTTCATGATTCCCTTGACCTGAATCAAAACTCCAGTTCTTTGGCAATATCAAAAAATCTATTGAAGTGTTAAAGGTGAAAACAAAATATAATGTTTCTCATACAAAATATTCATAATTTAACAAAACGATTTGTGGTCAAACGATTCCAAATTTGAACATTTCTGTAATAATGGCAGCCTAGAGAAAGACTGAAAATTAAAAGCAAATACACTGTAGATACTGAAATGTTATCTTCGTCGTATTAATGTGTTTCTTAAAGAAATACCGGGCGGCCCCAAACTTTTTGCGTGTAGTGTATATTGATAAGTATACCTTGTTTTGTGATGACAACGAACATTCGTTGCCACTTTTGTAATGACAACGAATACTCGTTGTCACTTTCGAAATGCTCGTTGTAGTAGAGACTTTGTAATCGCAGATAAAACTATAGAAACGCCGTTGAACAATACTGGTGTCAGACGCCTTCGAATAGCACTCATACTAATAGTACTTGCTCGATAATACTCACTCGAATAGTAACCACCGTATAGCGATCTGAATAGAGAAATAGTATAGTGAATAAGGAGACAGGGTGGAGTAATGTATAGCGGCTCGGAATGAGGAATCGGAGATTCCAGTCGAATCCAATACATTCACTTACGTGAATGGGAAAGGTATGAATCCTCTTCTTCTCCTTCCTGCTATGGGTGAATAAACTGTGTTCTATAGCCTTGGATGGCAACTGAAGAAAGAAAGAAAAGGCAAACTACTGCGGGAAAAAATCTGCCTCGTCAGTCATGTATCGAAAGATACATGATCGCTTAAGCGTGTATCACGCATGGCACATAACTGACTGACTGACTGATAGTGAATAGAGAGGAGAATAGCAGTCTGTACAGTATAGAGGATAGACTAGAAATAGCGATCCGTATAGTAATAGAGGATAGAGTAGAAATTGGCGATGAACTAGACGTCACGCAAACTCCTACTTATGCGTTTCCTCTATGGTCACGCGGTCTACAGGATTGCCTGTGTTTGTTCTCTGGCGATCAATGTTCAAACTCAAGTGTCGGCAGCGACACTTTATTCTTATATAACAGACTGAAAATTACAACTTCTTTTTTTATATGGTGGTGTGATATTTTAGGAATCAATTCGAAGTTTTTTCGTCATATTGTAAATAAATATGTATAATGGAATAGCTATTGACATTTGGTTTAACTTCAAATATATAAATATTGCTATGGTACAAAAGTGAAACTGGAATATTCTAAGGTTATCGAATTATGATAACACAACGTTGAATATCACAAAAAAAAATTTAAAAAAACAGATGTTTAACAGATATTACAGAAAATGTATTTGGAATCCTGTCTACAGTGAGAACAAACTGGTTTTAACAAAATTGAAAAAATAAATCTGATACAATTTAAACGTATAATGAGCAATAAATATTTGAAGAAGCTATTATTGCAAATGTAGACTAAGAGAAAACATGCAGCATGTTAAAGACATTGTCTAAAGATAATTATAAAATGAAATGTATAGATTATGGAAAGAAATGGAATGATGCTTACGCTCAAATCCTGCTGAAAACACTGCTTCTTGTTCGATCACTAAAGTTAAGCAATGTCGATTCCGGTAATTAGATGTAGGACTGCTTGGAAACACCGGGTAATGTAAACAAACTTCTTCCAATCCGAAATGTGTTTCGGCATTAAAAAGGCTTGATAAGTCGTAAAAAATAAGTCAAAACTAATTTTTCGTGATGAATGGAGATTTACATTGTATGGAGCTGATCTAGAGCATGGATCCTTTATATAAATAGTCAGTCTCTGCTTTTTTGTCCACTTAGAAGGCAGCAGACGGAAGATGGCGTATGTTTGGCGCTATTGTTTGATGTTTGTTCAGAATTGATAATGGTTCAAGTTACATGAAGATTTGCTTCATTGTGACGTACGAGACAGTTTTTCTCGTCAGAATCTACCTTACACATTTATAATTCTACCATTCGTCCTTGCTTTGAATATTGTTGGCAGACCTGGTCTGAGTCTCCTGCTATATTTTTAGAAATTCTTGATAAAATCCAAAGAGAAGTCTGCAATGTTATTGGTCCTGACCTACCATCTCGGCTTCAGTCACTTTCCCACAGCTGTAACGAAGCTTCCCTATGCCTTTTCTATAAATACCATTCTGATGAATTTTCCGCTATGGTACCTAGAGTTTATGATTTTAAACTCAAGAGTAGATTGGCGGCAAGTTTTCATCATTTTACAGTTGAAATAGCTAGATGTAACCATAAGTTCTATACTAACAGATTCTTTTCATGTACTTCTCGCTTGTGGAACTCTCTCCCAGCGTCTAGCTTTCCAGTAAAATTAGATCTTCAAAAATTTAAATGGAATATCAATCATTTGTCTTCTTAATACTTGTTTTTTTTTATTATTCTCTCTCTTTAGTTGTATTTTTCTTCTTTTTTAATTCGCATACTCTCTAACACTCTGGCTCTTTTTGCTATTCCGATGGGCCTTCGTATTTCTGTATTAAATTTTCCGTATTAATGTGTCACTAATTTTGATGTCTAGATTTGCGGCAAGGTCATATCATTTTAAAATGAAATGGCTAAACGTAACC